TGTCGGATTACCGTCCTATCGGGTACGAGGGTGAGGGAAAAGCGAGTGTACAAGTGCTTACGCAGACACTCCAGCGCTATTTATCCTGTCCTGCGCAGGTGACTCGTCTCCGTTGAGACTGGCTACCGTGACCGAAAGTCAGTCTGGAGGACATTCATGAGGATTTGATTATTCTAATCAAATCCTATTAGTAATCCTAGGGGATATTTAACACGAAATAATATAATTTTTAGACTTTTAAAAAAATTATTTTAAATAATCAATAAAGAAATGCATCAAGTTCAAGACTTTTATTATATTTCGGACTTAATTTTGGGAACCAACCTTGCCAAGCATCGTTATTTCTTTGTCGCTTTTGTTGGTAAAGGCCTAGTGTCTAGTGATGGTAGCACTGAAAGCTACATTTTTATGTGCGTCTGAAGAGCGTAGATACATTCAACCCACGCACACTAAGAAAATAAATTTGCTTCAAGATAACGCTCGTCTTTTGTTCTAGACGCGGTTTATGTGTAAGTATACTACGAGTAAGAGAGGGCAAGTATAAATACAGGCTATGAATAATTCCATCTTAGTGCTCAGAAGTGTCAACGCATTTGTCATCATCAACCACTTACTATGAAGTGGACCGTAGGTTTCGTATAGCACTACAGTTTTGCAAAGAAGTCTCTTGTTTATATGAAGGTTTTACATTTTCTCAATGCCTATTTCTTTTCATTAGGACCTATGTATGTATATTCAGAGAATGTTATGTTCAGTGAAGACTTTAGATTTCAAGTAACGGTAGCATGTTAGGTCACAAAGAAGAACGAAATTAAAATTGTTTCTTGATTTTCTTATGATAGCGGTAACCGTCTCTAAATCCGACATCTATTTTTCGATTTAAATATAGATTTAGCAGCATTTAAAACAATGCACGGTCTACAATTTAAAATCTACAATACTCAAACCTAACCCCATGGATTTATGGACATTCAACAAAAAAAAATACAAGAAAGACCGTGCGCGCCTTGATTGAGACCTATGCCTAGTAAATACGAAAAATATAAATGATAAAATAAAAATAAAATAATCGAACACAATTCACAATAAGCAATTAATCGAATTGTCTGCTTCGTAACACGTAGAAAATAGCGCGTAAAGACGTTTTCAGTTTCGTTATATATATCTAGTATCTACCACTATGTAACAAACGTAGTCGCGAAATTGAGAACGTGCTCGCCGCAGACGTGAGACGTCCGAGCTGACGGCGTGCGGCGGCGGACTGGCGTGGCGCCATGACTACGACACCCTCCGACTCCGTTCAACAGATTGCACCCCTATCACATATTCACCCCCTCAATACATACGTCATAACTTACAGTACACTCACATTATCGCATCTACAGTTTTCTCAATTCTATTTATTTAGCAGAATTTAAAAATGTGTCATCAGTTATATATTACCTATATTATAATTATGTGACAAAGCTATATCACGTCCTTTAGGGTTCCGTTCATATTATGACTAATTAACTTTTGACTAGATACTTAATTAGGTATAAAAATGTACATTTATTTTCGTTGCAGCTAAAAAAAATGAATCGTTGTTCTAGTATTTGTTGTTAAATACAGTATAAGATATACTGTAAGTTTAACATAATATCAAAAAAAAATATCCAAAAATATATATCCAAAAACTTAGTTTAGTTTTTAAAATAGACCTTGGTAACAAAAACGCTTAAAAACTGACAACTTTGTGAAAACTTAATTTCCTTATTTTTACTGGTAAAATAGAATGAAAAATATTTTTGAGCTTAAGACTATGCCATCCCTCATACTAGGGTAAAATAAACTTTTTTTGGCTCCCTTTTTCATGTATGAAAAGTATAATTTAATTGAATTTAAAAACCGTTATTGTTAATCGTGTAGGGGCAGTATAAAAATTTCCTTTGCCCATATCATCACATGGGTGTTGTAAGAGGCAACAGAGAATGGTAATAGTACTTAAGGGGAAATATAATCTCAAATGGCTTAGCAAGATTCTTCGTTATGCCGAAAATATTGCAGCATATAATACCATATAATATAATACTTTACCATATAATATAATATATGGTAAAGTTGAGGATTAATGTTAAAGATTATGTTAGACGAAAACACGATTTCGTAAAATTTTCTCGATAGAAAAAAAAACCAAATTTACCTCCAAAATAAACAATAAACCGCTGTTATTCATAAAATACTTTAAATAAGATCATGAAACTTTGCATACTAACTGAACTAACTATAAAGCAGTGCTTATGTTATTTACTTTTTTTAAAATACCATTATTTTCACTGTAAAAAGAAATTACCTAAACTATCGGCCTTTTGAGCGTGATTCCTGCCGCACGGTCACTTCGCTTCGGCCTTTGAACGGGGAGGTTGTGTCGCTTACGATCAGAATATACATTACGCAACAGGACGACGTAAAAATAAAATGAGAAATAACCGTAATAAAAATAAGAAGCGACTGGCTTGGCGTTAAGAAACAGGCATAAATATGATAAACCTAATGAAATAAGTGTCTAACGACCTTTCTACTTACAGTATTAGTGATTACAAACATGTCGGTACATAGCATACGACGCGCGGACAAGTGGGGACGAAATTAGAATTTGAGCTGACTTACTCTATCCCCTTAAGTCCACTGCTTATCATTTAGATGAAGATTCTACACCATATATCCAAATTTCAGGTTCTTAACTCATTCTGCCAAAAAGCTGTAGGATCCATGACACACTGACAAATGGACAGACAGACAGCAGTCTATTATTCAACCCCAATAATATATAAACCCCATTATTTTCAAATAATAGGGTTCCCTTTTACCCTCTAAGTATGGACCCTAAAAATGCTAAAAAGTATTATGACTAGAGAATACAATCCCGAGATGTTTTTCAATTCTGGGATTACAGGATATTCAATGTGTAATGCCAGGATCCCGGGACTATCCTATTCCGTAAATAGGAACAAGTTTCAAGTTCCAAAATTGTTTATATAAATGAATGTTTTAAGCCATGTACTGTTTATTTGATATTGAAGTCCACTTGTCGAAAGAAAAACTAAATCTTTCACCAGCACTTTTCAAACATTACAATTTTGTAGTTACTTGCTTTCTGATTTTTTCACATTCATAACACGTTTTTGAATGGTGATGGCTGACTTTGGTAAATCTGTGTATTTTTCTAAGAGGTCAAATCATTTGAAATTATGAATACACTGAATGGAAATCCATCTAATGCAATCATTCTTGCCAAAACATCATCCAGGCAAAACAGTTTTGAAGCTATATAACCTTGAGGACCAACCCGCAACAAAAATAACTCCACACTGACGTCATATCACAGTCTTTTTTATGTTTAACAATGTCTCCCGCCATTTAAAATACTTAAAATAAAACCTAATTGGTGTATTTACACTTTTGTACATGGAATCCCTACAGGTTTACACTTAGTAGAGCCATGCTGCTGTTATAATAGTAGTATAATTGTAGCACAAATAAGTTGGCTCGACCGGGGAAGGACCATACCCTCACAGAATAAAAGCTTAAATTAGTAGCTTAATGCTGCTGTGTTTCGTATGGTTAGTGTAGAGAACTGGAGACCCTTTTTACTGGAAATGAGGTATTCCATCTTAGTCCTCATGGGTGACATCGCATCTGCATTTTGATTCGTAATCGAAGATACATTTAGGTCTCTATGGACTACAGCAACCACTTACCATCAGGTGGACTGTGTGCTCATTTGTCACCCTATCCTATAAAAATATACCCAGCAACAATACTATGATTAGAGGTGTTGGCCCATTGGGGAATAAGCTTAAGAGTATTGTATTCAAGTATTCCGAGGGAGGAAGCTCCGTTTAAGTTATATGAGAAACATATTATATATATATATATATATATATATATATATATATATATATATATATATATATATATAATTAGTTATTAATATAATATAGGCAAGGTTATTGACAAGACGCCACAGAGTACGGAATACAAACTAGATCAGTTCGTGGCAATCTTGAAAATCCCAAGATGAAAGGCCAGAAATGACCGAGATTGTATTCTCTAATTGTGACATATTATACATAAGTTACAAACAACTTTTACATAAAGATAATCCAAAAACCGGTTTTAAAAACTGAATATAGTAAAGTCCCACTAATAATTAAAATAATTATAACTAGGGTGAGAGGCGAAACCTAGTGAGGGATACTACATGAGTTGACATTTCGGGTACCTCTCATCTTAGGGGTACCTTGTTTAGAGCTGGGATGGTATCAGAGACAGCTGAACTGAGCTGATGTTTATGAGAGATTACTAGATATTTGTATCATTTGCTGTAGAGACCTATCATCATCATTGGTGTTAAGAAGGCTCGTCCTTCGTTTGCTCAATGTTTATCTATCTAGCCCGCAAATGCAGCCAGACACTATACAGCTGAGAGTAAGACTATTTGATCATATAAGTTATTGTTATGTTATGGTAAGTTATTATGGGTATTAAGGTAATAATTAATGTATATTTTAATGTTACTAAAACTTCTAAAAAAAATATAGGATTCAGCATTCCCACTTTGCAAGTCACACAATCCCACCCTTCTCACCGACCCCTTCCCCCATTTGGGAAATCGATTTGGGCCCAAATTGATTGTAGGTTTTGTACATTCCTTCTAACATAAAAACCTTACCTGAAATCTCCATAGATCTGTGGTTTACATCAAAGTATTAAAATCAAGTTTTTGATACTCGTTAAATACTTGTTGTTGTGATATATAATCGTTTAATTTTATTTTAGGATAAGGTTCAACAAGCATTCAGTAACATTTTAATTAAATAACATGTAAAAGATAAATGAGGATATTAAGACCTCATTACTAAGTAGACCATAACATATAGGTAAATTATCATTCACTTCTGTGTCCGTGACAGTACCACATTGAGAATATAAATTGTGAATTTAAAATTGCAACTTACCGGCTATGATACCATCCATCTGCAGAAGAGCTGCCTCCAATAATTTAGCGGGATCAGATTCCGGCGAAGTTGGATTATTATCGACATCAACTTGCGTTGATTTTCCCATCTCACCGTCAATTAACGCAAATTTAATCCAACTAAATTAATGTTTTAAAGTTAATGAATTTCAAAAGAAGTTTTATTTTCAAAAGTTAACTTTAGTCAACAAAACTTTGATTTGACAAGCAGCAAACATTCACACCAATTCACACATTCACAAATCACATCACTACCAAAGAGTATATAATATAATCATTATACATGGAGTATAGAGGTAAGGAGGACAATCTCCCATAGGGAAATAGTTCACTGACCTCTATATATACAAGTACGCTGGACTGGCTATACCATAGAAAATGACTGTGCCAATTTGAAGCGCCGCTAAAGGACGTCTTGAAAAATAAATTTGACATATGTCGCAAAAAAAACGCAGTAACGAACAACAACCAAAAAAAAAAAATATGTCAAAGTCTGTTGTCTTATTTATACTGTCTTATTTAATAAGTCCGTATTTTGAACTTTTAAACTAAAAAACGAAAGTATTTTATGTCGTTTGATTGTGTATAATATTAGTTACATAATAAGAATTATTTTTATTAATAATGAGTGTGCGTAATCTATAAAACTCGTTACCAAAAGGGAAGTGGTATAGCATTTCACAAGTAAGTGAATTTGCAGCAAATATTAAACAAATTAAAACTATTTTATAATATAAGTACTTAAAAATTTGTTACTAATCTTAATATTATATACACCAACATCTTTGGCTATACAATATGTAACAAAAACCCTGTGGTTCCCGTTAAGTGCGTTATCAGAATCAGTATTAAAACATATAGAAATAACTTTACTTCAGAAAATTCGACATAAAAATAATAAAATTAAATTCTAATTAAATAAAATTTGTAAATTTTATGTGAATTGATTACCTCTGCCTGGAATTGTCGACAGCGGCGGGTGGCGGCCGGCGGTGACGTACATCAAAGACGGGGCGCGCGCGCGCGCGCGTCCTACCTACACTAACTGCACACTGAGGTCGTGACCTCGTCCCATCACAGCTGTTATAGTCAAACACTAATTTATCACTATGTCTACTTGACGAGCACGAAGATGTTGTTCAATATGTCCCACTTGTACCTCTATACATTTGTGACACCCACTTATAATGTCTGAACGCACGCGTTGCATAACAGACATTTCGGACTTTATTTTTTCAAAGGCTGCGACTATACGCATACGCATTTCTGCCTCGGTATCGCATGTTTTTTGGAATACAGTCTGCTTAATCGTACCCCAGAGATAAAAATCTAAAGGTGTGAGATCAGGTGATCGTGCCGGCCAGTTGACCGGTCCACCGCGGCCAATCCATCTTTCACCGAACTCAGTATCCAAAAAACTTCTTACACAACGGGAGAAATGCGGTGGAGCACCATCTTGTTGAAACCACATGCGACGAACGAGGTCTAAATTTATTTCGTCAAGTTCATTGCTTAGTTCTTCTCCCAAAAAACGTCCGTAATTTTCACCGCTCATTGTATGGTCTAGGAAATACGGACCAATAATTTTGTCACCTATAATTCCCGCCCACACATTGATATTCCATCGGTGCTGAAAGTGGCTTGGTTTATACGAATGCGGATTTGTCGTTGACCATACGTGTTCATTATGAGCATTAAATACACCTGTTCTTACAAAAGAGCATTCATCCGTAAAAAAGTACGCGGTTCAAAGACTCAGAATCTCCTTCAACCTTATCAAGTAACCATCTACAGTAATCCATTCTCGGCTCGAAGTCGTTAGGAAGAAGACACTGAACTCGACGATAATGATATGGGTGCTGGCCATCATCTTTGAGGGCTCTCCAAACGCGCATATGGTTGACACCTAGTTCACGTGCCACCGAGCGCGTGCTCCGCGTCGCATCTTCCTCAAAAATGTCGAGAATGTGCTCGTCGATGTCGTCGTCGTACATCCTCAGTCTTCCTGAATCTGTACGTTGTTGATCACGGCCATGCACGGTGCCAGTATTGTACTTACGAATGTGAAGTCGTTGGAATGTCATTGCCGACGGCAATTGTATATTTCGTGGAGTAGCAAAGCACTCCTCATAAAGTCTTCGTGCTGCTGTATAATTGCAGTTACATTTCCCGAGACACATCAACATATTAAAATATTCTTCGTTTGAGTAAGACATCGCACACAAGTCACTCAGGGCGGAATATTAATTTCGCAATATAAAACACAACCGTCAATATCAGTGCTAACGCGCTACTGGTGCTTGATGCTTGTTTGTTTGCACAGACGTGGCAAAGCTATTGTACTCGATAATATAATTTTGATATTTTCTAAATCGATAAAAATTTCGTGATTTTTTTGTGTTATTTCTTTAATAATACTATATACATTAATTACCATATATATTATACATTTTACTTACATCACATGGAACTGCAGTTCTTAAGAACTTTTTCTTGGTTGCATCATTAAATTAACCATCATGAAAATGTTTTTCACACAGCATTCTGGGCTCATTATGTAGCTTTGTCTGGACTTTTTACTTTGTATACTGCTCTTGGGAAAGAATATAATACTTCGCTCACAATTTTCAGCTGAAAACAAAAAATATAATTATTAAATAAAAATATTATCAAAGTAGGCCCAGTGGTTTCATCATCATCATCATCATTACAGCCCTTAAGTCCACTGCTGAACATAGGCCTCCCCCAAGTAATGCCACAAAGCACGGTCCTGAGCCACCTGCATCCATCAACTTCCTGCATATCTTACCAGGTCGTCACTCCATCTAGTGGGGGGTCGCCCTACACTACGCCTACCGGTACGAGGCTGCCACTCGAGAACCTTTCTTCCCCATCGGTTATCGGTTCTTCGAGCTATATGGCCGGCCCATTGCCACTTCAGCTTACTAATCCGTTGGGCTATGTCGGTCAATCTGGTTTTACTGAAACTCCGAGCATAGCCCTCTCCATAGCTCGCTGAGCGACCTTGAGCGTCCACATACGGCCAGCAGTGAAGGACCACGTCTCAGATCCGTAAGTCATCACTGGCAACACGCACTGGTTGTACAATCTAGTTTTCAGAGATTGAGGTATACCTGACGAGAAGATGTGTCGTAATTTCCCAAACGCTGCCCAGCCGAGTTGAATCCGTCGATTGACCTCTCGGTCGAAGTTGGACTTACCTAGTCGGACTATTTGTCCCAGATGAACTAAACGTACTCGTCAACAACTTCGTGCATATTGCTCCCAAAAACTACCGGCGTAGGTGTGACATGGACATTAAACATGATCTTTGTTTTGTCCATGTTCATCTTAAGACCTATCCGTTGGGAGGCACTATTGAGGTCATTGAGCATAGTGCTTAAGTCCTCCAGCGATTCTGCCATAAGGACTATATCGTCGACAAATCGAAGGTGAGTGATGTACTCGCCATTGATGTTAATACCGTATCCTTTCCAGTCCAGTAGCTTGAAAACGTCTTCCAAAGCAGCGGTGAAGAGTTTCGGGGATATAACGTCACCCTGTCTTACACCTCTCTGCAGTTGGATAGGTTTCGAGCTCTGGTTCTGTACTCGGATAGCCATCGTAGCCCTACTGTACAAACACTTCAGCACTTCGATATACCGACAGTCAACTTGGCACCGCTGAAGGGACTGCAGCACCGCCCAAATTTCGACGGAATCAAAGGCTTTCTCATAGTCCACATACGCCAGGCAAAGTGGCAAATTGTACTCTTCAGTCTTCTGTACAATCTGCCGCAGGGTATGTATTTGGTCTATGGTACTGAAGCCTTTTCGGAAACCGGCTTGTTCGGGAGGCTGGAAGTCGTCGAGTCTGCGTGCGAGACGATTCGTAATGACTCTCGAAAACAGCACGTAGACGCGGCTCAGAAGGGAAATCGGTCTGTAGTTCTTCAAGAGAGCGTTGTCGCCTTTATTAAAGAACAAGACCACCGCACTTCTGCTCCACGCCTCTGGAGTATTGCCACCATGGAGGACGGAATTGAAGAGCTTCTGAAGGACTTCAAGTACCGGTGTTCCACCCGCTTTCAGAAGCTCCGCTGTAAGTCCATCCTGGCCTGGGGCCCTGCCGTTTTTAAGGTGCTGGAGAGCCATTCTAATCTCGCTTAGACTGACGTTCGGGATATCATCGGAATAGTGTCGGATAAGACTTGCTCTTGGATCGTTACTCACACTTGCGTGTGGCTCCAACGATGATGTGTACAGCTGCCCATAGAACCTCTCAATCTCACTCAAAATCTCAGGTGTCCCGGAAACGATGCTGCCACACTCAGTCTTCAGCTTTGACAGTTGGCTCTTACGGGCAGACAGATCTCTGGCAAAGACTTTGGAGCCCTGGTTTCGCTCGATCGCTTCTTTAATACGAGCAGTATTAAAGTTGCGTAAGTCTCGCCGCATGCATTTGGAGATCTGTCTGTTCAGTTGCCTCTATGCTGTCAAATCTGTTGACGATTGCAGCCTCATCTCCCGTCTAACAGCCATGAGATTAAGAGTGTGATCGGAGAGTTTTTGTGTTCTTCTGCGGCGGGTCTTGCAGAACTTAGCTCCGATCGCATGGACAGTTTCCACGAGCTCGTCATTCATATCGTCCACTGCATTGCAATCTTGTAGGCATTGAAAGCGGTTGTGTAACTCGAGCTGAAAGTTTTCGGGATTCTGGATTAGAGCACGAGGGGGACGGAGCGTTGACTTCATTAGACGAGACCTCTCCAACTTAACGTTTAGGTTCAGTGTGCCTCTAACCATTCGGTGATCGCTGCCAGTTTTCACCCTTGCGATCACTGAGACATCACTGAACAGTTGGCATCTGGTCGTCATAATGAAGTCAATCTCATTTTTTGTCGAACCGTCGGGGCTCGACCAGGTCCACTTCCTGTGGGGCCGCTTCTGGAAGAAAGAGTTCATCATAAAGAGTCCCTCTTTCTCCATAAAGTCGGCCAGCTGCTGGCCCCTTCGGTTCCGTTGCCCTACTCCAAATTTCCCTAACTTCAGCTCACCGTTTTCTCTTGTGCCTAGTTTTGCGTTGAAGTCTCCCATCAACACCGTGTAGTGGGTTTTGGAGTAATGCATGGCTTTGGAAATATCCTCATACATTTCCTCCACCTCCTCATCGGAATGTGCCGAGGTTGGTGCGTACACCTGTATGACCTTCAGCGAATACCGTTCGGTGATTCTGAGTATCAGGTACGCGACCCTCGTCGACACCCGAAACGTCGAAATTCTTAGCACCCCCTACCCCGCGGTTGCCAACCCGCTCACCAAGCGTGGCAACTATGGCAATATACTCCCCATGAAGAATTACACCATCTTTCATTATAAGTTGGACAAAAAAGGTTTACTTTAAGGTAAGAACTTCTTAAATAGTGTATATGTATATTGTATACGTACCGCGAAATACACTTTACTGCGGGTTTCGGAAACCTAAATAATTTAATGTTGTCAACGGTTGGTGAGCTGTTACACTTAGAACACTTTTTCTATTTTCTTTATTCGCTACTGCAATGGCAGCGTAGTTTTTAGAGTCACTATTTCGTATTTCACTACGAATCATTGACTAACACATTGCACATCATATAAACGAAAGACATTAATCTCAACTCAACGTCGTAAACTTGCAAAATCTTAGAAAAAGACACAAGCAAAACAAACATAACTACCAATCATGAACAATAATTTATACGTCGGCGCCATATTAAGAGTATTGTGAAGCTGTAAATTTTCATACAAAAAGCGATAACGTTTTCCCACCAGTAAACATAGTCTAATTTTCATAATTTTTGGAAATGTTGTAGATATAACAAAAAAATATGTTCGTAAGTTTTCATTTTAAAGAAATAGTACGTACGATATAAGTTATTAGCATCAAATACTGATAGATTAGGACTAAGTTCCTCGAGCGTTTTTATTTTTCTTAATTAAACTAAACTGATTTAGGTACTAAAAAAGAAAAATGTAAAGACCTAAATTAAGGTGTACTGAATCTAATGATACCAAAATTATCTCATTTCGTAAAGGTTTTGGGGGTTAAAAAATGTTATCGCCTGAAACAATATTTCAATAAAGAAATGTAGGCAATTACTTCCAAGACTTGCAACTCTCTCTATCGCACGATACGGGTCGGGAGGCAGGGGCATACGCATACTGCTGTAGTTGTGGTTTGTTGTTATTAGATGTCGGAGATTTTATTGATATCGCCGGTTCTTTGTTTTAATAGCCGTTTATAATAATCTAAAAAAAGGGTTTAAGCCTGTACTATCAAAAAGCTCGTGGTTTACGGACGAAATGTAATGAGCTATATAACAATATCTTACCTCAAGACTATTATTAATCTTATTGACCGAAACCTGGTTAACACTTAATTTAGCAGATAACAAAAAATTAAGATAAAAAGATTAAAATTAAGTAATTTAATTGTTATTATAAGTTGATTAGTGTATTAGACGTCCTATATAATTAATAAAAAAAATCTAGCTGTGCTAATTTTTGAGAAAATTAATGTTCGGCACGACGGACATTGCGGAATAATCGACTAAAAATTCGACGGACATTGCCCAATTATGGAAAATAAAACTATGAAATTAATTTACAAAAAAATTTTTAATACTCCAAAAGAAAAATAAGGCACAAAGAACTTACAAGCTAATTATTTTGTATGAAAGTTTAAAAAACAATTGCGGGCATTCTTGCCTGTGACAAAGCATATTCTAGTATTGCATTTTGTGCAATACACCACAGTTTTTCTCTGACAGTACCGGCATCTACCTTCTTCCATGACTGATGGAAAGTGGCCAAAATTGTTGTATTTTATCGGACTTGATGGAAGGGCTACACGAGGCTTTTTTATCTTAGAACTGGCTGTTGCCTTCCGGTTTTTACAGCGCATCTCACCTATTAAACCTTCATAAATTTGGAATCTGAAAGTTTTCAAAAGCATTTTGCATCGTGAAATTCCTGCGTTCCTTTTTCACCACATCAACCAGCCATTGTTGATACATATATCTAACAACTTGTGCGAAAATTCCCAAATACCACCTCCTACTTTTGAATGGTGTTTTAAAGAGTGATATGAGCATATCGGCGAGATCTACACCACCCATATGCTATTATTACACGGTACTTCCACTTTCTTCTTCTCTTCTTTGCTATATCTTAAAATCTTTCCCACTGGCTCACTTGCAGCATAGGAACTTATCAAAGTTACAGCCTTGTTATCGTTCCACCGAACTACAGCCAAACGACTCTTATTGCAAACAACCTCTGCGTAAGTTCCTTAAAGTTTCTTTTTCATCTCTTTTTCAGTTAGCATTTTTTGTTCAGCTCCTCGTAGACGATTGTTTCGAATAGTGCCTAAACCAAAAATACCGTAGTTTTACCGCAAAAAATAAAAGTTCCGATGATGAGAAAAAATTATCGCAAAAGATGATTGCTGGCTTTTGGTTGATCGTTTGGCATAAGGCAATAACTACTTGAGCACCAAAACCAAGGGACAATTCTTCTTCAGAAAACGTGTGGTATCGGAAAGTATCGTCTCCCGCGTATATAACGAAGTCGTAAATAATTCCCGATACACCAGCTCTGACATAATTTTTAAACCCCCATTTATTACGTTTGTCTTTCATATACTGCTTTCTTTTCCCAGCCTTTGAACCTTTATAAGCTATCATCATCTCGTCAATGCTAAACTTTCTTTCATTATGTTGTTGTTTCAAACAATTTTGTCTAATTTTCTCAAATACTGGCCGTATCTTATAATATCTATCCCCATCCTCGAGGTTATTATCCGCAAAATGTAAATAGCGTCGGATCTGCTGGTATCTTTTTAAAGACATTATATCGGCCACTTTGTCATATCTGTATTTTTCTGACCAGTAATCAAGATATGAAGGCATGCCAGCAATACCCATTATAACATGAATGGCTAAAAAATCGCGAAACTCATCTTCAGTCAGTTGAATTGACTTACCGGTTTCTTGAACAGAGTAGAAATTTGTTTGGTCAACAATATCACTCATTATGTCCTTCAAAAAAATAATTCAAAGTATGACAAAGGTGACGAACAAGTGTGACAAACACTGGGTTCAGGCATGTCAACATAATCCATATCTTCTTCTTCTTCAATCGTCGCTCTATGGCGAAATTGCGCTTTTTTCCAAGTATACGTCAATTGCACTTTCTTCTTTATTCGTTTTACCCTTTTTGCAGCTGATGCAGTTGGTTGTTTTGATCTTGTTTTTCTAGATAATCGTGGAGTAATAGATGTGGCTGGTATTGAAGATACAAGGAATGTTAGATGGAAGCGAGGGAATGTTAGATGGAATATTCTCGTAGTTAGATTCTCGGATTTCTTGCAGGATTGGTGTTAATGGAACTGTATCTAATAATGCTTCTTCTTCTGGTTCATATTGGGTATCAACAGGATTGTCATCAAATGAGGAATCGAGGTTAAGATTTTCAAGCGAAGATTCAATGGATGGTGCAGAAGAGGATTCACAGTCAAACTCATTATGAGAATGTGCAGGAGAGGTGTTAGAGTCAAAATCAATCTGAGGCCTTACATAAACATTTTCAGGTTCAGAATCTGAATTCTCATTCATCGGAAGGGGCATGCTCTCGTGGAACCAAAGCCAATATTTTACTAGCACGAGTACTCTGTTGACAAGCAAAAGTGAACCAAAGTAAGCAAAAAAAAAAAAAACGCAAAAAATAAACCAAACAAACAGCGTTAGTAATTTGGCAATGTTCGTCTCAGCGAACATAGAAACAAAATACAATATCTTTATGCATTTGTCAATGTTCGGTGTGACGGACAACGAGTTTTTGGACCCATAAAACAAACAAAATAACCATAGATTGTCAGTATTAGCTTATCCCTTTTATAAACATATATGCTAACACAAAAAACAAAAACATGTTGAAAAAATTAGTTAAAACAATAATACAACATTAAATACCTTGAGAAAAACGGAGGGCCGCCTTTTCGTCGACATGTTATGTCACGAATGACAGTTACGGTGTTGCCACATTCATATATTTTTTTCTACTAATAGTTTGTAAATTGCCAATAAATTAAATATAAAAATAATAATTTGCGTCATAGAAAAAATATTCGGCGGGTTTTTTATAAGTTAATGTTCGTCACACCGTACAAAACCAAATTAAGGGTTAAAAAGTGATATTTATAATAACGAACTTTGTGATCTTAGATATGATGCTTTTGAAAGTGATCGTAATTATTTATTGTCAGGGAAAAAGGTCGGTAGCGGAGTGTTAGTCTGCATACGTCGCGAATTAAGTGCATGTCTATGCGGCCAATGGTCCAGTGCACCTACAACGCATGAGTCGGTGTGCGTGACTTTACCTGCACGTACGCTTGGGTCCTCAGTCGATCTACATATAGCTATTGCGTAAATTCCACCTGACTCGAACGTAATACAGAGTGGATTGAATGATATTAAGCAAAACTTATCGCATCGCATTGAAAATTATCCCATGGACAATTTTTTACTGGTGGGAGATTTTAAGTTACCGTGTTTGAGATGGGACTCCAACAATTGTATTGCACACGTAGACGGTTCATCTTTTATAGATAATTTGGCGATATCTTTCGTTGATGATTTAGGGTACCTAGGTCTTAAGCAATACAATTATAATTGTAACTCAAAAGGTAATATTCTGGATCTATGTTTTTGCAATTTGCCATTAGTTGTTAGAACTTCTTTACCACTCATAAAGGAAGATATATATCATCCTGCATTAAATATTGAAATACCTGATTTTAGCATACAACCCTTTAAAAAACGTAAACATCCGCGTTTTAACTTTTTTAAATGTCACTATGAGAAGACGAATAATTATTTTAGAAATATTGATTGGCGCTCAGAATTAAATGGCACCGACACAATTAATGAAGCTGTAGATATTTTTTACAGTAAATTACATGAATGTACCCATTTACGTACCCATTAACATGTATTCTAACAACAGACATTATTATCCTGTGTGGTATTCTTCTTCACTAATAAAAATCATTCGCAAAAATGGCGCGCTCATTGTAATTGGAAAAAATACCGAACCCAAGAGATTATGATGAATTTTCGCTTTTAAGAACACGACAACACCGTATTCAACTTAATTGTTTTAACTTTTATACAAACAATACTGAACAATATATTACGTCCAATCCTAAACACTTTTGGAAATATGTCAGTTCGAAAAAAGGCTGTTCCAGTTACCCAAGAAAATTTACACTACGAGGTCAGATATATGACGAGGGTGCAAGTATTTGCTCAGCTTTTAATAAATTTTTTCAAAGTGTTTTTATTACACCATCATCAAGTAGCCAAACTCAGCCTCGTCACACATCTGAGTACTCCAGTACGGAGTCATTATCCCGCATACATATTACTAGAGAAATAGTTCTTAAATTCCTAAAATCACTTGATAAATCTAAGGGACCTGGAACCGATGGTATTCCCCCTATTGTATTGATTTCATGTGCTGATAGCTTGTCATTGCCTATTACAATTTTGTTTTGTCGTTCTCTCGATGAATGTATTTTCCCCGATTTATGGAAAAAAGCAAATATAATTCCCATACATAAAAAAGGACCAAAAACCTCAATTGAAAATTACCGTCCGATTTCAATTTTGAACAGAATCAGTAAGCTTTTTGAAAAAATTGTTTACATCTTCATCTACCCCATTATAATCCGTGGTATTCCTGATACACAGCATGGCTTCATAAAAGGACGGTCTACGGTATCAAATTTGTCTCTGTTCTCAAATTATGTCCTCCTGCATATGGATTAATCTGTATTACAAATTGTGATTAGTGAACTTAGATATTCTCTTTGATGACCAAGTTGATAATATCGAATTGTCGATACCTTACGCGTTTTTAGGTTAAATTGAATTTGTTTATTGTAGAATCCTTGCCAAAATTTTTTTAACCTTACTTAAATTTTATTCTTAAAGCTTCTACAATTTTTAAAATTTAAATAGATATGTACTAAAGAAAAAACAAATTTAGAAGTTTTATCGCATATTTTATTAATATTTCAGTAGACCCTTTACCAAATTATTTATAAGTAAATAAATAGAACTACATACTTGGTAATAAGTACCATTTCTTTATAAAATTATATTTTATATCGTCTTACGACGATGGACGACAATCTGTTTCAACCGCAAATAAAATTTTTCATAAACACAAGCAAAACAGTTATATATATATTGCAAACATTTTAATATATATATGTAAATAAATAACTTTTTTATTTAATTATATTATTCTCTTTGTAAATACATATTTTAACTTTGAATGTTAAACACTTAAAATTCACACATCTAGTTATCATATCTGCTGGCATAAATATACAAAAATTTAAACTTTTTACTACCGATCTAAGGCACAATCTGCTAACATGATATAATTTACTATCACTCGTTATTTCGAATTGGTTACTCGTAAACAGCAACCATTTTTATTAATTAGTAAATATGTTATTATTTGTCTTATAATCATAACATAATAAATGTAACAGCAAAATATCAACGATGTTTTCAATCTCCCTACCCTCCCTCGCTTTACAAATAAATTGCTTTTATAATCATTTATCTATCTTAATTATTACACACAACAACTTAAAACAAAATTAAAATGTTGGTAAGCTGTGTTTTGGTATTAAAGTGAGGATTGCTATACTAAAGTATTTCTGTTTATAACAAGTACAGAGTATCAATTTAAATATGTGAATAAAATTAAATATTCACTTCCAACAATAATAATTTCAATATTGAAAACCTAAAATTCCTTATTACAACTATTAACTCAATTTAGGTTAAATTGAATTTGTTTATTGTAGAATCCTTGCCAAAAATTTCATAAGGTTGACAAAAATACTGATGTATATGATTTATTACATAGTTAACAATATAATATTATTTTGTCACTTTTAAAAACATCAAATACTATGTATTCACACTATGAATGTGCTACCCACATAAAGAAATAAATCATTTACCTCAAACTGCAACAATGAACAATAATTGTTTACTGCAAAACAAATCAATCAAGCTGGGGAGCTTTTAATGTACTAATATAATTTTAGTACAATTTTACATTACCCCTTACTTGATCAATTTACTTTGGAGCAACACCAATTAAAAGATAATTTTATTCTATCTTCATAAACCTTTGCAATTCTGTAAACATTTTATAGTTAAGATCTCTTCTTAATTTTACACTAATATCTATAAATATATTAACTCTATTAAATATTAAAGGCAATATCTATCGTTAGATATGGACGGATTAAGTAAAGGCGCCCAATGGGGTTACCAATTAATAATATTAATTATTAATAACTCTTAAATAGATCTACACTTAGCTAATTCGCGGTGCAACAGTAGGGACCAAAATTAAACATAATATTCAAGTCTACATATTATAATAACCAACAATGAAACAGCATAATATAAGAATCTCTATAAATAAATATGTGTTGCTTGTTTCAGGTAACTCACTAGGTCCATTAATTCAAGGACGGACTACCGCAGACCGGTCCTTATACTAATAGGTCATTATAACAAAACAAAATACAATAACTTCGTTGGTAAACTTAATTTCAGTTCCACCTAAGTCAATTTCGTAAACTTAACAGGCAAGACCACAACCGATATTAAGTACTTATTCGCTACAGGAATGTAAATCTCAGGTTATAGCATTTTAGAGTAAAGTGTTAGTGAAAGCTTATAATCATATCCGAATTACAAGTCTACGATAATCTAAAGTATGAATTTGTCACCTTACACATAATAAATTTTTATTACTAATTAAAAAAAAAATGTTAACCAATATTTGCATAGTTCAGCAACAGATTGAGCAATGCTGACAAAAAACGAATAGAGTAAGGTAAATTTTTTAAATTGTTTGCCATAAACATTTGCATTAAAGAAATTAGGCATCTCAACATACTTTAATAGAAGTTTAAGTCATTGTCAATTGGTTACTTACTAATAAATAAATATATACAGGCACCAGATTTAAGCACGCGATTATTCACGTAAAGTGATTATCACAAATGTAAAGCAATGTAAAACAAAATTAAGCATTTGTGCGAATAGAACACATACTCTTTATAACTGTTGAGCCATGTTGAAACGATTGAGCAATGTGCCTTTTATATAATGTTTTATCTTACATTATAATATAAGCTTTTCATTTTAAGTACATAATGTTTACTTCTAATTAGTGAGTGTTATTAAGAACAAAAAATAAATAACAACAAAATAATTTTTAAAACTTGTACATTAAGTATTAGTCGTGGACTTGCATCATATGCATTTTATGACAACAAAAATGGAATGTAGAATTTACAATTCATGTCTGTCGCACAATCACAATTCTAAACCATATTGGGAATAATATAGGCTACGCCTTTAACATCTCGTCAACATTGAAATGTAAAAATATATTAATTTGTACACTCTTTAACTTTTTAAAAACATTTGTAAAATTGACTATCGCACCAAAATACTTCTTTATATGTTTATTTTTGAATAACGTTCATGTACTATTAAGTACTTTGAAATACAATAATAAATAA